TAATTGTTCATAATTCTCTTTGGTCAAAGTCTCGTAAGTCGAATTTTAAAAATATCCTGAATTCGTACGTACCTTCATTTACTTCAACTATCTTATTCTACCACGCTGGTTAGATATAGTAGTACACAGAATTCAATCTATAATGTCATAACTTGATTAATGCCGTAGATAAATCTAATATATATGTTGTAAGTAGAAACAGAATTTAAGTGGATTCTGGATTAAACTAGTATTTTAGGTAGAATTTATTATATATAACCATATATAATTAATAAATCAAATAATATGTAATTTTTATTAAAAACTGTAATATGTTAAACTATTTTATCCGATTTCATAAACATTCACCTATCTTATGATTACGATCATTTCTCTGACAATTTTCTTATAACCCTGAAAAAATTACTCAACTATGCTATCATTACACAAACTTGTGTTCCTACAATTATGAATAACATTTTAGATAAAAATCGATAGTACAAATAGAGATACTATTGAGATATGCTCAACGATTACTATTACACGATAGATCAAAATAAAAATCTTACTCAATGCTTGAGCAGCTACTGTATTATCGATTCTATGCGGTTTGTTGAAAATGTCTATTGTTTATTTATTGCTTATTTACGTATTTAGCAATTTATTCTATAATTTGTCAAGGGTAATAATATAATGTGTCGTTTAAAAGAACCATTATTGAGTTTTCTAATGTTTATTTGCTAAAAATTTTTTAATAGTAAAAAAAAAAAATAGCATAATGTAATGTTCTTTGTCGTTTTCAATTTATGTCGCTTCGAAAATGACAAGTCATTTAACCACCATAAGATTTTGTAATTTGATGGATCGACATTACAGCATTACAGTTGTACCACATCAGCCAATCAAAACGACTTTCCATCATGCATAATAACTGTTTTATTCCCAGGTTCTTATTATACTTTTATACTATTTTTTCAAATTTAAAGTTACGTATTTCATAAAGTTTAGCTTTACTACAATCACAAAACTTATTTCATTTTCTTCTGCTTTCTTTTTTTTTAAGAAGAGTAAAAAAAAGATATAATCAAAAGAAATATAAAAACTCCGGATCACCCCGAATCTGATCTGGGCAATAAGCAAGAAAACAGTATAGAATTATAAATAAGAACCGGGGAATAAATCATGATTTGATTTGAGTTATTTTTCAATCGGTGGAGATTAAAAATAGTTAACGTTAAAAAACTTTGCCTTAGAAAATTTCATAAAACATAATAACTAAAGTTGTTAATAGTTTACAAGGTATTAAAAGATTTCTATTGCATACAGATATTTTTCTGTTTTCAATTTATCTGTACCCGACATCGATATTATCAGAAACCAATTTATATTAATTTTCTTAATATTTCATTTACTAACTTGGGATTAGCTTGTCCCTTCGTTTTTTTCATTACCTGTCCTACGAACCAAGCAAAAACAGTTTGTTTCCCTTCTTTGAGAGATATTAACTTAAATAATATAACAAAATAAAGGTTTTAATACATGGATTAAACAAGTTAATGTCAAAGTAAAAATAACGAAATTACCTGTCTAGGATTTTGTAAAATAACCTCTTGACAAATTTTTTCAAGTTCACTGATATTATTTAATTGTCTCAAGCCTTCCTCTTGAATTATTGTAGAAGCCAATCTTGAATCTCCGGCAATCATTTTTTCAAGAATCTTTTTTCCAATTTTTCCTTAAATAGCGAACCATAATTCTAAGATTTATAAAATCTATTTAGAAAATAAAAATATTGATTACCTGTAATGTCTCCATTGTCAACACAATCAATGACAGAACCTAGCTGAAGTGCTGACACTGGATTCTGAGAAAACTTGATGTTTTTTGCGTGAAGAAGTCCAAATAATTCGTGTATAATCCTAATTTTGTTATAATAATGTATACTTATTTGCATCGGTCTTAAGTTTTCAGCACCACGTATATTTCATACCAATTTGAAATATGCTGTGGATTACGATTTTTTACTGCCTATGTTGACGCGGATAGAAATGATCAATTAACATGCTTGTAGATATATTATTATCTATTATTTATTTATGACTTTTGATAATATTTTTACCTCCTCAAAATATTTTACACCACCGATTTCATTCATTAATACTATAACATCATGTAATGGAATACAATATTGCTTCATTATTCTCGTTTTAAGTTCGTCCGGTAATTCGGGTAAATTATTCGATATTCTCTCGATATAATCCTTCGTTTACAATTTAACAAAAATGTTGAATTTGTCTAAAGAAAACATTGTCCAAGATAATTTAAGAATATGAATACCTTGTTTAATATTAATGGTGGCAAGTCTGGTTCGGGCATATATCTAAAAGCAATTATTTGTTAACGTCGTGTCATGAAGATAATCCTGCCAAATCCCACTTATTTATACAAATCATATTTTTTGTTAATATAAATTTGTTTATAATAACAATTTCTGCTTATTTGAATAATATGAAAATATTGTTTAGTTAAAAACAAAGGTTCTATAAATTAGTAGAAATAGACAGGAATCACTTTAAATATTATTAAATAGCAAATCATTCTTGATACCTATAATCAGTAGCAGTTTCTTTTGATCTTAATCTAAATGTTTGATTTTTTGACACGTCAAATCCTCTGGTCTCTTGTTCGAGATTATTCCCATTTTCTAGTTCTTTTATCTGCCTTTCTATTTCCACGTCTAAATCCATCAAAGAAATTTAGCCTAAATTTAATTCAATATCAAAATTGTCATTGACATTGATATGTTTACCAATGGCTGCCATCAAAAATTTAATACTATTCAAATTTTTAATTTCACATCTGGTTCCATATGGTGTTCCATGTTCGTGCACAGAAACATTGACATCACATCGTAATGAACCCTAAAGATATACACAGTCCTACTGAAATTCAAAAAATTCAAAAAGGAAAAATGATATATCCAAGAACATCAAACCTCTTCCATGTTGCCATCTGAAGATCCAATTGCTCGAAGTATTGATTGTAACTTTCTAACAGTTAAACCTGCTTCCTTTGATGTCCTATAATCAAAAATTACAATGTTGAATAAAAGACATGACAAAATGATTGTAATGTAATGAAAGCGCACCTCATATCTGGTTCAGTAACAATTTCTATTAACCCAGTCCCTGCTCGATTTAAATCAATCAAAGTCATACCAGGTACAATATCATGAATGCTTTTGCCCGTATCCTAATTTCAACACGGTCCTCTTTTAATTCAATTTTTCAGAATTAATGAAAACATTTTGATAAATCACCTGCTCAAGCTGAATCTGTTTGATTCTAACCACAGTATCATATTCTAATCCGTCCAAATGATTTAAAAAGATTTTACCACCAAGAGATATTGGTGCTATTATTTAAAATAATTAGAAAAATATTTTTGATCAAGAGCATTTCCTAAAAATGTCTTACCATAATGTTGAGTTATCTGATAACCAGACGGTAAATCAGGATAAAAATATTGCTTGCGATCGAATGAAGATACTAGTTGAACATTTCCTGATAATGCTAATGATGCTGTGACAGCAAGTTCAACACATTTAGCATTTAATTGCTGATTTAACAATGATAAATTTTATTTAGTTTTTTTTACAATTATATAATTCAATAAATTCATTGGTTTAAATCTTCTACCGGAAGTGTTCCCGGAAATGCAGCATCAATTACTGATACGTTGGTATTAACAGGTTCATTAAAAGATGTGGATGATGCTATTTTATTAATCATTTTTAAATGTTATTACTTTTTTTTATTGATATTACATAATATTAATTATTCTTTCAATAATAAACACATACAAGAAAATAATTTTGTCTTTGAATTTAATTGCGCATGAATTTCTAATCCAATAATTGCTTCCCATTTATTCGATTTATAAAAAATCGGCCGCTCTGATCCAATCTGAGTACTATATCGACACAACGTTACGTGCCTTTTTACTTGTGATATAAATTTTTCGTGGCATTTTTTTTTAAGATATGTAGCAACGAATATTTTAATAATCATTGACATCTTTAAATCTCGGGATCGGAATGAATGAAGTATCAATAATACGTATAAATATGATTATCGAGATCAGGACATATTCCAACATGTGACTTTAAATTATTATTATGATGTGTGTACAATACCCATACGTACAACAGTAAAAAGAAGATACGTACAATACAGTTCATTTTTACCGGATCTTACTATTTTAGAAAATCCCATTAAATCATACGTTATTTATGCATAATGCATATATATAAGTTTAGTTCAAAGGGACTACCGTATATTGTTGATCGGCTCATAGCGATAGTTTGTTATTGAAGGTACGTACGAATTCAGGATATTTTTAAAATTCGACTTACGAGACTTTGACCAAAGAGAATTATGAACAATTA